CGGTGCCAAGTGCGTGGTTACTATGCAAATTGCAGCGATTGCGGAAATAAACAAGGGGGTAGGGAGAGGAGAGAGGGACTGCCGAATCGATTGCAACTTCTGCAAAGTCTGGTCATCCAAAGCACGCAAGGCAAAACCAGAGAGAATCTGAGAACCAGCCAGCCCGGGTTGGATCGCTTTCAAAAGAGAGAGTGAGAGCGAGCGAGAGAGACAGTGAGAGGGAGAAAGCGCGCCTTGCAATTGCAAAAGCCTTCTGATTTGGAGTAAAAAAAAAATTCTCCAAGAAGCCTGCAATTGGCTAACAGCTTTTTAAAAAATCTCTTCCGGGTTTTCAACGGTTCCAAGTTTATTTAGATTTTTTTTAATGCAAAAAAAAAGGGGACAACAAATGAAGCAATTCGTCTGAGCATTTTAAAGTTTCTCACGTACTCTTTTTACGTTGCAATGGTACGTGGTACATCTTAAACTTTCTATTTTGCATTTATATGATATGCGTTTTATAAACAATAATGGTAGAATGATTTTGTTTAATGACTAAGACTAAAATTTCTGTAGCTCGCATATGCACTTAAGTATTTGCTGGGTAAATGTCTATTGTGATGGTTTTGTTTTAAAGATGTAGCTTTGTGGATGGTGTTTTTGCTATGTGCATCAGAGACCGGGTTTTCTTTTTCTTTTTTTTTTTTTTCGGGATTTGAAAAAAATTGCTGAGCTTGACAGATTTTTTTCTTCCTAGCGCTTGCTCGGTTCCAGAAAGGGGTGGGGGGAAATCCTGTACGTGCTCTGTTCTGTAAAAGACGTCTGGCCTCAGCAGTCAACCTAACCCGAAAAGAAATGTCTGGACCCGGAGAATAATTGACGATTTGATCCTCTAATCAATGGGACAACATGGGAGATTGACAAAAGCTTTATCCAATCATAAGAAAGCTTGGGTGTACAATAGTTCTCAATAGCCAGAGGGGGCGGGGCAGAGGAGATCTGAAGTTCTCTGCAGCTCTGAAGGGGATGGTGTGGTTCAAGCTGTCAAAGCTACAAGCGCTTCCGGATTTAGCAAGCACAATAGGAAAGAGTTTTCGCGTTTAAGAAAAAAAAAAAAGCTGATGGGGGAGTTTTGCATGAATCGTGTGCCTTCTTCCTCGCCTCCTGGAAAAACAAACATTCTGCTAGAGAAATAACTTTGCATTAGTTATTAACTTTGCATTAGCTATTATTTTTAAATTCAGGGAAGTTGGTAACTTGTGGAATGTGAAGTTCAACTTTAAGAAATGTGTGGCTTAAATCTTGCCTGAATTGTGGGACTGTAGTGAGCTTTGGGAAGTAACATTGCGGTGTACTCAGCATTACAAAACTCACTGATTATCTTAGGAGCTTTGGCATTTCAAGTACTTTGAAATTAATAGGTAAACCTCTCTTCTTGAACTCTAAACAGCACTTTTAAAGGAGAGAATGTTTCACAGGTGGACTAGCAGCTGTATTACTGAAAGAAAGGGGGGAGTGTTTTTTCTTGGCTGTTCTTGAATTCTGCTTTTTAAGTATATGGTCAGTAGGAAATAGGACATTAAGACTGGCCAAGTTCACATTTCTTCTTGTTACCACAACAACTCCCATGGAGAGTGTGAGTATGGAAGATCGCTGACTTGCTAACTGTTAGCTGGAGTCTGGCCTCTTGGACAAGTGCTTGATACGAATCCAGTGGAAACCAACTGCAGTAGCTTGTCTTGGAGACAGTAGCTGGCAGCCTCTGACTAAAATATCTCCGTCTCTTCCTCTCTGAGCAGTGTAGACACCTAATTCTGTTGGGAAGTGAATGGAAAATAATATGGGCTCTTTCCCTTCTTTGGATTAAATTCCCATTGAGCTATTTCCCAAGGCTTCAGGCCTTCCAGTGAAATCTGGCTTGGAACTTTGATGTAACAATTCACTTGGACACTCACTTCAGCAACATGGTTCAATTTAGGATTATATGCATGTAAAAAAAATTTGCACAGAAGTGACCACCAGGTCAAAAACCAGGGAAGAAAAATGTTGAAAAATGCCAGTTAATAAAGTTAGTCTTGGTAAGAACTACAGTTATGGTCTTCTCACTTATGAATCCCAGTCCTATCTTCACTGCTTTGGGTACTAAAATCTAAATCATATTAATAAGATCTCCCTATTAAGTAACCTCCAAAATGAGAGCTATTTGAGATGTACATATAAGTGAAACCTTATTGACGTAATTTATATATTTAAGAGGATTTCACTAAAGCTGGCAAGGTAACGTTTCTGCAAATAAAACACAGTAAATGCAAGGCTGGGCTCTGTGCCAGGAAGAATATGGATAGCAGAGAGCATGACAGGAGCCTCCTTTGGGCAGAGACAATCCCATTTCAAGGCAGCCTCCTACCACTTGCAAAATAAATGATTGGAGTGGTTATTTCCAATAAGGGGTTTATCCTTCCTAACAATGGGTCATTTATATGATTGCAGTGAACTAGTTTCCATACTTCACCTGCGTTTCCTCCACTGCTCTCTCTACTATCCTTTCTTTCTTCCCTCCTCCTCCATCCCTGCTCTTTCTCAAGTGCCTTAGTATCTTTGTGAACTCCGGACAAGGATTTACTTTTGTAACTTGGGAAGAGGGGAGAGAGTTGGAAATGTTTTCTACCCCAGTCTGCACTTTGAGGAACATCTGTTTCTTTGTGCGTGTGTTTAAATTTATGCCTGTTGGAGAGAAAGTTACCAGAAGCCTTTCTGTAACTGTAACTCTTCTACTGTATTTTTCTCAGTCTTGTTTCCAAAGGCTGTAGATGGAACTGTGCTTTGTAGTGTTTCCCCCGCCTCCCCCCTCCCTCTGCGGGGGAGGGAGCGGGAGCTGGCGGAGATAGGAGAGAAAGCAGGAGCGGATGTGAAGGGCTTTGGTGCTGAACTTGGATCCAGCCCTTGCCTAGAGGGCGCAAACAATCGTCCCATATCCAAAAGTCTTACGAAGGGCGCCAAAAGTTACTTAAGATAATATTGCTAACCGCAGAAAGCTGGAAATCGCGGGCACCTCCATTGCTACAACAAAAGAAGTTTTTAAAGTAGAAATATCAGCATTAAATTACTCCCCCCCCATTAAAAAAAAAAACCAACAGGGGACGTGCCAGTCCTTTTTTTTTTATTTAAATCTTTTTCCCCTTGAGACTCCAAAGTAAGAATCTTTGCCGTTTAGAAAAGAGGCAGATGTGAAGTGTATCTTTTAATACTCGAAAAGAAAGATTTTGATCTGCTGTGTAAGAGCTTCCCGAGTACACACTCCGAACAATAACTTCTCACTGTGCCTCAGTTACATGTTGGGACCGTCAGCCAGAAACTTCTATCGAGGAAACTTGGAGCGCACTGAAGTTATAGATCCCAGCAAAGGTTCTCATGGCCAGGGATGTTGCTCTGTAACTCAGCTTAGTTTTTAGGAGATTCCTCCCCTACTGAAATCCGAGAGGAACCAAAGAAAAGCAGTGGGTTAGTTTGGGAAAATGGACTTTCTCATTAAAGGTGGAAATCATTCTTTCTCCTCACTCCTTAGTAAATAATCCTGAGAGATTTCCAAGGATGTTCTGGAGGGAGGGTAGGGGAGAGAATGGTTCTTGAGCATTCGGGAATTATTTTGGCAATAAAGTAACTAAAGAACAAGCATAAAATAGCTTAGACAGATGAAGAATTATTTCAGAGGTTCTCCTTTGCCCTTGCTCCAGTACAATATTTCCTGCCCCTTGCTTTAAAAAGAAGTCTGAATGAGAGTGGCCTTAACACACCACTCACCCTCACTTGTCGAATGGGCATTCCTACAGGAATTTCCTCTCTTTAGAGATTCTCTGGCCATGTCACCTCCACCGAAGAGCAGATTCCCCTGTGTGGCAGTGTCTTTCAACATGATACCCCCCTCTTTCCTTATGGAATTTTGAGAAGGGTTGTCAAATGCAGCATTTTGCAAACCCATCATGAGGAAGAGAAGGAAAATAAGGGATAGGGGATTGGAAGAAATATATATATATATATATATATAATTTTTTTTTCTTTTTCCTCCAAGAGAGAGGAGAGCCTAGAGAGAAAATATGAGGTTAAAAAAAAACTGGAAAAGCAGGCTTACTGGCAACTTGCCAAACCCTAAAAACCACCCCCCTTTTCTGCCAAAACAATACTCTAGCAAACCTAAAATAATTGCAGGAAGCTCTTTTCCATTTTAAGAACTATTACCTGGGGGAGGGAAAAAAGGGATTCTTAAAAGGCACCCTTCCAGAGGTGTCCCAGAAACTGGGACGGTAATGACAGCCTATGTCCAGTTCTGGGCACGCGTTTGTGGATCAGAATATCTCCCTACCCTAAGGGGACATCCCTTTCACATTTTTTTTTCCTCCTAAAAAGAAAAAGATGTCACAGTTAAACCACTGTTGTTTCTGAACGTGATAGAACTTTTTCTATGGCGTCTGTGTTCAAACCCACTAGTTTCACAGTCCTGGGAGGGAGTACGCTCATTAATCTCCGCCTTCCTTTCTCCAGACCCCCGCCCCCCAAATCCGGTGAATCTTCTGTGGGCACTGATTCCTCACCAACCCCGATTCTGAATGCCACAGGACCGAAGCTGCACAAAGTTTGCAGGATTGTGTGCATAATTACCTCTGCCGATGAATCTATTCCCACAGAAAGCTTCGCTGGAGAGATTACAATGCTTTGAGCCTTACCGCATTTCAGTGGGGGAAAAAAAAGTTACCTAGGAGGTCTGATTTTTCAAAGAAATTTGCATACATGCAAATGTGCCGCCCGGCCTCCTCCTCGGTTCTCTACGTGCCCACGCGGTGGCCCGGGGGGTGCGGGGCAACCTGGCAAAGTTGCCCAAGTCCTCCACCGAGGTCCGCGGAGGTCTGCGGCGGGGGTGGGGGGATGGGGACAAGGAAAAGTAGTTTTGTTTGCTTAAGCACATCCTGTGGCAGCCTATAGCTGCCCGGGAGTACAGACTGTAACTGCTCCTCACTGCGTTACCCAGTAATGCGCTGATCGGGGGAGGGGGGCGGGGGGGCCGCAGAGCGAGCGGGAGAGCAAACGAGCGAGCGAACGAGGAACGAGCCAGGGAGAGAGCCGGGGAGCGAGCGAGCCAGGCAGCGAGCGCGAGCGGCCGCGGAGGCTCGGGACCCGGCTGGCCGCGCGGCGCCGCAGCCGCCCCCTCCCCCCACGCCCCCTCCCCCCCGCGGCGGCGGCGCGAGCGGGCGGCGGCTGTGCGGTGCGGTGCAGAGCGGAGGCGGAGGCGGGCGCGCGGGCAGCTCGCGGGCACCCGGCCGGGCCGGCGCGGGAGCGGGAAAGGGTGCGCTATGCCTTTAACGCCCGCGTACAGTAGGCATGTATAGTGGAGTGTAGGGAAACTCTAGGCGGGGTTAAAGTTCAGCTCATGGAGCGGCAATAGCGCTGGCTGGCTGCAGTTGAGCCGAGTTGGAAATGTGAACGCAAGAAGCAGGCTTGATTTTTTTTTCTCCCCCCTTCTGTCTCTCTCTCTCTCTCTTCCTCTCCCTCTTTCTCCTCTCTCACCCACACTCACGCACACCTCCAAACCGCACACCCAGACGCACACGCATACCCCAGCGCCCGGCAGTTATGTATTCTCCGCTCTGTCTCACCCAGGTAAGCCGCGGCGTGGATGCGGAGGGCTGGGGGGCCGGGGGCAGGGCTGGGGCTGGGCGGGGGGCACCGGGGCTGCTGCGCCGGCCGGGCCCGGGGCGTGCGTCTCGGTGTGTGCCTGTGTCTGCGCGTGTTTCTGTGTGTGTGTGCGCGCGTGTGCCCGCGAGGGGGGGTCCCGCTTTAAGAAAGTAACTTTGTTTCCATGAGGGTGCTTTCCTCTTGCACGGCCATTTGTGTGGGCACATGGCTAATGGCGCCCTCTTATTAATGCGTTAATTAATATCGGGGCGACGGACTGCGGAACGGCGGTGTTTTCGGACGCCCCGCACGTGTTTCGGCGGGGTTGCAGCCCATGACACGCTGAAATCTGGCTCAGCGTTTCTGCTGCCGGGAGCAGGGATCCTGTAGTTCCGCGGCGCCCGGGGAGGGGGCCGCCAATGGAGCCCACCGCGCACCCCGCACGCTCTGGCCGGCCGCAGTTCCCGGGTGCGGGGAGACCTCGGGTGCCTGCGCCCACGGCCCGCTCCCCGGAGCCCCCGCCGCCGCAGCCCCCAGTCGCCTCCCCGAACTCTTACTTTTGTTTATTGTTTGTCAGCCTTCGGGGTCGGGCCGCAGGAAGGACGCGGGCCGCCGTCCCGGCCCCGGCCCGGACAGCGCCCCTCGGACGCGGGCAGGCGGCGGCGAGCCCTCGGCGGAGCGGGACTGCGTGGACGCGCGTTCCCCCGCGCCGGCCGGGTGGAGCCTGCGTCCTCGCCGCGCGCCAGTGGCCCGCTCGCTCTCCCGGAGTGAAAGTTTCGGGGCCGGGACTAGCCCAAGCTGCGCAGGGCGCGGAGAATCGGAGGCCCCGGGCTGCGGGCCGGGCAGCGCCGGGCGGAGTTGGGCTCCCGGCCGCGAGCTGGAGCGGCGGCCCGGGCCGGACGCGGCTCCCCCCCGCCGCCGCCACCGCCACCGCCACCGCCACCGTCACCGCGCGACTCCGGCGGCTCCGCGCGCAGGACGGGGGCAACTTTTCCCCTCCGACTCTACTCAGAGCGTGGGGCTCTCCCGCCCCACCGCCCCTCCTTTCCGTGCCCTCCTGTCCATCTCTCCCTTGTCTACCCACCCCCAGGCAAAATATTGCTACTTCACGACTTTAAATCTGGTCCCCTTTGAATATATTATTTGTTTTCCTTGACTAAAAGGCATGAAGTCAAAGTGGTTTTGCGCCTTTTCTTTTTTTTTTTTTTTTGGAAAAAGCGTAAGTTTTCACACTGCTTTGGTACATTGCGATCTGACCATTAATCACCACATGAAGTTATATGCTTCACATAAAATGTTTATTTACCACTCCCTTAAAAAAACCTACCACTTCTCTTGCCTTCACTTAGTAGGAGATAACGGTTTAACCGGAATACTTTCTGGAAGGCTAAAAAGTATCGGTAGTTTTCACTCTCCTCTCTAGATTCAGGATTTATGGCATCCCTTCTTATTGCAATATCTAATAGTAATAATACCGGGTATTTGATCTCAGAAGACTCTTAAATCCATCTTTTATGTGAAATGGCCTGTTTGGGATTTAGGCCTAGCATTAATAATAGATAGCAGTTACTTTTAGTTATTGTAAAAGTTTTTTGTTTTTCCACCCCCCACAACAAACTTCCAGAGTTCCTATTTTAGTAACTTGTGAAAGTATGGAATGAAACTTTTCCAACCACTTCTGGCAAGGTTCACAATTGCATATGGATAAGATGCAAAGTGTAAGATAATTTGAATGAATTACGGACTATAGTGAAAATGCTGAGATTCGAAAGCTGAAGTTCTCGCTGGCAGAAGTTTGCAACACACAGAACTTGTAGATAATACCAGCGAGCTGCAATAGAGGGAAAGGACCCTAACAGATACATGGTGTCTTCTCAATTGAGCTCTGAAAAGATAAATTTATATTTGGGGATGGTGCATATGAGGGCACCTGTATATCCATGCAGGCCCAGGGCACAGTCAGGTATTTAGCAAAGTTGGCTTCTCTTGGTTCATGAGCTATTATCACATTAAGAAAGTTCTTTTTTTCTTTTTTTCTCTTTTTTCGGCTTACATATTTAACAGGATCGACTGATGCATTCACTAGGCCTTCTTCTGGAAGCACCACTAAGAGAAATGCTTATTTAGTGTAACAGTTTGTAAAGAAAATGTACAATAAATAGTGAATGAGGGCTCATATTTTATGGGTTCTTCTTTTAAAAATTAGTTAACAATTTATTTAACTTGCTGGAATATTTATAATGCTTTAGAGTCAGTTTTAGGAAGAAAACTTCGGTGGTTTATTGCTCATTAAAAAAATCCAGTAAGCACAGTGACAAAACTACTCTAAATGAAAGAAAAAACTCTATTTAACTTGTAGGCAATTAAAAAAAAAAACTTTACCAAGAAAACCTAGACATCTTATTTTAATCAAGGATGGGCATATAATAACCATTTCAGGTACTGTCCATATAATGATAACCCAGCAGAAATTTGTAGGTGAACCTTTAAAAAAAGTAGTTTCCAGAAATATCAGCATTCAGTGGTTCTTAAACTTGGCTCACTTTCAAACAGATCAGTGTTTAAGATGCTGATTCAAAGTACTACCACTTTTGAAATAGGTTTTCAGGTTTGTTTTTATTGGTGACCTATAACTTTCTCACTGAATACATACGTAAAATATTCTTTTTTTTCTCTCTTGAATGTTATGAAATAGTACGTAGCTTGTAGCGATATGTTCAGCAACATGAATTATAAAGCCATACTACTTTTTGAAAAAAAAAAAAACTAATCATTTATACTACCCTGGACATTTCCTACAAGCTAATGATATTCTTTAGTTTTGATATTCTGAAATATTTTAAATCATGACTTGAGAAAGATACATGAGAAAAAATTAATACTTTAATTGTGCATATGAGTAAAGTTATACAAAATATTGTGGACTTTTACTGGCACGTTCTTAACCTTTGAGGAGGAATACATTGTAGTTACTTTTAATGCAAAATTGGGGGGTAAGGTTATTCTTAATGACTAGTTGCCATAGTTCTTGTTTAAGGATTTTTATGATGAGATGTATGGGCATTTGGTTGGCAGGTAAACAGAATCCTGTTGAACCCGAATGCATGCAGTTTGCAGTTTTTTGAAAAGCATATTAGGAGTATCTTTGAACACTTAAAATGCCATATTAGAATGTTTATTTTAAATGCTTATTATCATTAATCAAACTTTTAAATAAGATAATGTTTTAACATAGATATGAATTGTTTGGAGCTAAGTTATTCCTTGCATTATAAAATGGTGCTGAAACTTTAAAATGAAATCCTCCTTTTGGTGAAAACTCACTTTGTAGTTGAAGGTAGACTCCAGAAGTTCTTTGCATAATGCAGCAGAGTCTTGGTCCCTAGCATGTCTTGTGTATATAAGAAAATCAGTCAATGTGAAGTTCCGTTTCAAACCTAAAATTTATGTATTTTAGAGCATTTCAAGGATGAGCTCAGGATTTAGTAATGTTTAGATCCTTTGTGGTTTGGCGTATACCTTCGCAGATAAACTGTGACTTGCCCCCCATTCCTTTCTCCTAAAGTATGGGAATAAGAAATATTCTCAAACATCAGAAATTTTTAAAATGTTAATGATTTATGGCAAAGAATAATAATTCCTGTATTTTTTTTCTATTCTCTCTCTAAAGAATGCACATGTGTTATGAAAGCTACTTCTCTTTTGGATTCTTTTATTGAAAAAGAGCAGTTTTTAAAGCTAAACTGGAAACATAGAGCCTCAAATTTGTGCAGAGAAGAAAAAAAAGTCAGTTATTGAAGTGACTGAAGTGATTTATTACGTATTATATTAATAAATACTTTTAAAAGCTCAGTCATACAGTGTTTAAATGATTGATTATGATTTGCAAATATTTTAAATGACATGACTATTAAATATTTTACCAATTTTTACCTTATCAGTTCACATTTGAACATTTAAAAATTTAGTCATTGCATTAATAATAATATTTTGGACATTACTGCTACCTGTGCCTTGAAAGTATATATTTAGTTAGATATAACAAACTGAAAAAGAATGCATTTTATATTTGTCCTACACCCTTTAGCAAAAAGTCATCAATCTCTCTTTGGTTTCTAATCTTCATTTATTTGAAGGTAATCTATCTTTTGGAGAGAAGAGTTATGTGGCAGAAAGAAGTTATGTAACAGTGTGGATTAGTTAATCAGAAGTTGGATATACTATGAAAGCTTTGTGGAGGTTACTGTTTAGTCTTTTAAAAAATATATTTATATTTCCTAAGAACATGTCATGTTTAAGGATCCTACATTTTAAGCAAAACATGAAGAAACACTTAAATATTTGAAATTCAATTTTTTTTTTCAATTATAAGAGGCATCTATCAGGGTTTTCCTGGCATCTTGTACATATTGAAAATACCAGGCTCTGTTTCCCTATGAGAAAAATTCTGAAATATTATTTGCAAAAATTAAATAATCTATTTTTGAGTGATCATATTACTGAAAGCATTTCACAGTCTTTTCAGTAAATTAAATGTATTCAACTGCAGTAGTGTTATCGCAATGACACATTTCATTTACTATCTGGCATGTACGGTTTTCTTTGTTTTTTTCCTTTTTCTTCCCTCTTTTTGTTTCATTCCCATAGTATCAGCAATTATATCTTGGACATAGATCTTTTATTTTAGCCTAATAAATATCAAATTTATCCCTTCTTACGTATATGAACCTGCCAGATTTTTCCTAGTTTTTGACTAAAAAAAAATGATACGTAATTGTAATATTTAAAAGGGGGATTTAGACACTAGCAAAATGAATAAGAAACAGATCAGAATCTACATGCAGTAGTTTTAGAGGGAAAGCCTTTGTTTTCATTGATTGTAGAGACGATTTTTGCTCCTAGACTTCCATAAACATTGACTGGCATCTAAATGTTTAGGATTTGCCAATCTGGCGGCCGGGCCCTGGCTTTACTACAAGTGGTGAGGTCAAGGATGGGACAAAATTAGATATGCCTTCCTTGAAATAGGGTTAAGATTATACATTGTTATAAGCATTTAGGTAAACTTCACTTACTATCTAAAGGGTGAGGAGCTAGGCCCGGCAGTAGCAGCTGGTGTACCCTGGTGAACATATCAAAACAGTTTTTTAATTTTTAGCAGTTTTTTTATTTCCAGTAAGAAGAACTGATACTGATAGTTTTCTCCCCCACCTTCCCAGACTTCCCATAGGATCCTGTGTGTGATTCTGGTAATGGCATGCTCGAATCAAATTTCAAGTGAAATGAGGAATTTTTTTTTAAGGCGACCCGCTGAAGAAAAGTTGTTTCCTTTTGTTTTCATTCTACTTATATTTTGGTTTTTGTTCATTTTCCTAGGATGAATTTCATCCTTTCATCGAAGCACTTCTGCCCCACGTCCGAGCCTTTGCCTACACATGGTTCAACCTGCAGGCCCGAAAACGAAAATACTTCAAGAAACATGAAAAACGTATGTCAAAAGAAGAAGAGAGAGCTGTGAAGGACGAATTGCTAAGTGAAAAACCAGAGGTCAAGCAGAAGTGGGCATCTCGACTTCTGGCAAAGTTACGGAAAGATATCCGGCCCGAATATCGAGAGGATTTTGTTCTTACAGTTACAGGGAAAAAACCTCCATGTTGTGTTCTTTCCAACCCAGACCAGAAAGGCAAGATGCGAAGAATTGACTGCCTCCGCCAGGCAGATAAAGTCTGGAGGTTGGACCTTGTTATGGTGATTTTGTTTAAAGGTATTCCGCTGGAAAGTACTGATGGCGAGCGCCTTGTAAAGTCCCCACAATGCTCTAATCCAGGGCTCTGTGTCCAACCCCATCACATAGGGGTTTCTGTTAAGGAACTCGATTTATATTTGGCATACTTTGTGCATGCAGCAGGTAAGTGCAATGGTGAGAATTCCTTCCACTTTCTTGTGTGTTTCTCTGTCCTGATGGCCACCGCGTTAATGCTGGATCCTGCCTGAGCTCCCAAGTTGCAGGCCACGTACATGAAGCCAGTGTGGTTTCAAAGATAAACCAAAGTCTGAGGTGCCACCTTCATTCAGGTGGAAAAGCATAGCTTTGAGCGAATTCTCACTCGGTTCAGCTCATTTGGTAAGTAGTGTTTTCAGAGGCGTTGGTAATCAGATATGTGATATGTTTAAATCACATTTTTTGATGAGGGGGTGAGAGAAGCCTCGTGAAAACCCTTTTGATATAGAGTATATTTTAACTGGCAGATGATCTAGTTTAAAAGCATTTAGTTTGGTAGTGAGGAGATATTTTTAGTTGCTTTTCTGCTGGGAGTGTTTTTAATCTACTGAGGCCTCTTGAACCCCTTGCCAATTAAGAACTTGGAGGTAAGATGACTATCAAATTGCTGATCATTTATGAAGGAAAAATAATCACATTAATACGCAGACTTAGTAGCTTTGTATTTAGGAATTCTTAGTGTTGTCTCAGATAGCTAAAGGAAACAAACAAATCAGCTCTTTCAGTAATTGGATGGAGAGGTTAATATTTAAAATAACCAACCTGTATAGTGCACGAACACACTGAAAAATTTCTATTGATAACTGATATAGTGAGTTGCTTTGATTTATTATAAAATTTTAAATTGTTTTTCTTTTCAAGGCATGTCTTACCTGTGCATGTTTCAGTATTTAGAGTAGCACGCAGGATAAAACTATTGAGGACTGGATAAAATAATGCATTTTTATAATTTGTTCCTTTCGTCTTGTTTGAGACAAAAGGCTCATTGTGCTGTGTGAACGCTCAGGTCTTGTGTAACTTGTTGACTTTATGTATGTATATATCGGTCTTGCTAGATTACCTTCATGGCAGTTACTTGAGCCAGATGAAAGAAAGAAGGTTGTGGAATCCTATCAGTAGGTTGTTCTGGGGTTCAAATATTTATTTATTTATTTATTACAAAGGAGAGATGTTACCTGTAAAAACACTGTACTTTTCTTCAAAACATTTTTAATTCTAAAACTGTTAGTGAGTTTTTAAAGGCATCAGATGATAGCCTGTTCTCTATTATTTTTCTCAATATATGTTTTAGAAAGAGAACTTTTGTTATCCATCTGCCCTTACATAAGAAATTGGAGAAAATTAGCTTTGCAAGCATGTCACATCATCATTTGCATTCTGTTGGCAGGGGATAGATGAGTATTTTAGAGGATGTGAGCTGTAAGTGTTTCAAATATTTGGGCTTTCGAAAATGTATACTTAATTATAAGAATTGCCTTTTGCTTTAGCCAATTCTGGGTAGCAAGAATGAAAAGTCAGCACCTTTCAAGTGACCTCTAAACAGGAATATGTATCTGTCTTTTAACCCACTCCTAACCCCATTGTTGTTAATTTGTTTTGTCTACTGAAAAAGCAAAGTTAAAAATTTTTTAAATGTGTCTGCATATGTAAAAAATACAGCAAGACACACAAAAAATATGGTGTTACAGGTGCTTTCAAGGAGCAATCTTTAAAATCTTGTTTTTACCTTTTAGATATTTAGAAAAACATAACATAAATTATCATGAATAATTGGGCAACGTTGAAACTCAAAGGTGCCAACAGGTGATGCAGATCATGATGTGTGCTTCCATATAAGATAACATCATAGTGAAATACATGTCAAGTTTTTCTCGGAGTAAGCACTGTCCATTCTAAGTTTTCGACTTAAACATTTCTCTGGATTTAAAGAAATGCAGTCTTTTCGCTATTCCCATGACATGCATTCTTTTTCGTCGTTGGTTTGTTACCGTGCTATTGCTTCCAATCCTTGAGCTCACACAGTTGTTGGTTGTTGCAATGCCTGAAGGGGTTATGTTGGTAAAATGACATTAAGAAGGTTACTTAGGAGAGTGAGCATCCTTATTGCTTATGAAAGATTTATTGACAGCAGCATAGATCAGACTACCTTTCGGTTTGGTTTTCCTCATGTATCCCAGAATCCCTTGTTATGCCTGAATGCCAGCCAAATGTTTGGCCATTGGTTTCCACGGGACTGCAGTAATGGCTGCTTCTCTGTGCGCGCAACAGGAAGATTGTAAAAGAAAATATTAAGGGTCTTTTGTCTGAAAATATTTCATATTCGATTTCAGAGATTGAGAGACCTGTTATTTGTGGAAGGGAAGCTGCCAATACAAATATGAGGTAGATCGGTCAACTTACATACAACTGATTTGACAAGCATCTGTTATAATACTGAAGATTTGTAAACACTAAACAATGTTTTTACCTCCTTAAAAGTTTTGAGAACTTGCCAGTACTGGCAGGAGGCAGAGACTCTGAAACGTGCTTCAAGATACATGCCAAAACCATTGTGGCCTTTTCACCTATAATACGTCTTTTCTCTCTCTTTCTTTTAAAATGTTGTATTTTTTTCCTTACCAGAGTGCCTTTTTTTCCCTAGATGGTCACAGAAATTAGATCTTCTTTTCCTTCTAAGGTTTTGTGTGTAATAATTCTTGCTTTATGCATCCACCTTTCTTTGTAGGAAGTTGAAATCTTAGAATATACATGTAAACACTAGAAGCAAATGCAGAATCAGTCTTTTCTTTTAAAGCAGAGGTGATTTATTCTAAGAGTTCTTGAGATGCTGAAATATAATACATAAACTACATTTTAGTGTCTTTCCTCTAAATCCAGTGCTGTTAGAACTGTGTGAATTTTGTGGCTGATAAACAGTAACAAGTGTAATGAAATTGGAGTGATTTCATAAGCCTGAGAATTTCATCTTGTTAAAAGAAGAAAAGCATTTTATGCCCTTAATTTGGTCTCAATTTGAGTGGTCCTTCTCCTGTATCATATGACAACTTGGAGATATAATGGTTTTGTGGCACATGGTTTTCTTTGTGGGTGTGTAACAGTAAAGCTAATTTATGACCAGTCTTTACCAGATGATCTGTATCAGAATCTACAATATACCCGGCACGTGGCAAGGTCACAATTTAAGTTGTTAAGGTCATAACCTTAGCCACCAGGCATTTGACCTTTTAGATAAAGTTAACCTTTGTTCATTAGTAGGCACTCAACCGAGAAGTTTCTGGAGAGTTGTTTTTCTTTTTTTTTTTAACTGCTTCTGTATAACTTCTGGTAATGTAATCAGATTCTAGAAAGATTCTCAGTCAAAGTAGTTTGATTTTGTAAGAGGTTATATTTTTTAAGGACTAATTTCTTGGCTAGAGGTAGATTGCAATATTTAGGCCATAGAATGACAGTGTCACAATTTATATTTGATGTTACCTGCTATGAGGTAGAATGAAAGCTCAGAGGCAGCTGTGTGGAGACATTTAAAAACTAAAATTAAACAAATGAATTTATGTTTAATTCAGCTAAGGCCTTTGCTAATTTTCAAGTGACATTGGGCCTAAAAGCTAAATCACAGTGAGCCATCTTCACTTTCTGCAGATGAGGAATTTTCTAAGATTAGAAGAATTTTTAGCAGTCTTAAAGTTCACTTTGAAAGACTAGTAAGTGACCACAGTTTGTCAGGTAATCGCTTTAATTGTTGATTAGCCAGTGACAAAACAAGTCGCTATTGTCCTAATAGCAGCAGTGTGGTGAGCACTTGTTTTAAGGTAGAAGGAGAACACATTTGACTGATTCCTTACTACCCCCGTTATTACCTTTACTTAATTTTGTTTGGATCAGGAATAGCAAAGATCCTTTCAATCACTGAAGGAGCTGTTTCAGTGTGTTAGAAGCCTGGTACCTGTCCTATAAACCTATTCAACGGTATTACTGATTACCACATTACCTGTACCATATTGCTCACTTAATTATGCTGACATGAATGCTCATTTTAAATTATTTAGATTCTTGCTAGTTTTGCTCTGCTATGCCTTATATTATTCCATTTCAGCCAAAAGAGAGCTACTCCCATTCAGGTGCATTTTAGTTATATTTTGGCTTCATGATTGCCATTCCTTCATATAGTAATAGAGAAAGCCGTGATATGCAGATAGACCAGATGGTCATGTTGACAGATTGAGAATTCACTTCCTACTGCTTCAGAGCAGGTGTGAGATTAGGAGTGTCTGTGTAGGGGCGTGTGTGTGCTTCATGTGCATGTGTGTGCACATCCAGGCTGCGCAGAGTGCTGTTTAAGCAATGGGAATGATTTCTTTTTTGAAATGCTAGTATTTTAAATACAGTTTTACTATACAGACAAGGTGTTCAGTACATATAGAATAACTATTGTAATTTTAAAAAATCACACTAGATTGTTACAGTTAATAATTTCATGCCAAATTAATTATGATAATTTCTTAAATTTTTAGGTAACTTACTACATTAGTTTGAGGCAACATTGCAGATCTAAAATATATTTAATATATTCTGTTAGCAGGTAACGTACATGTGTTTACACTGAAGTCTTGGACTATACATTTTTGTAATTAAACTTATTTGGTAACTTAAACTCCCTGGTAGAAAGTCGTGCAGTTCTTGTGATTTGTAATTATTAATAAAGTACTCTTGGAAAAAGAAGGAGTAAGACTAATATACAGTGGTATTTTAACTTAGGAGAGTAAGGATCACCCTATCAAACTCTAGCTCTAAACTGAAGGTGGGTTTTGTGGCTGATGGATTTATTGTAATTTATTGTTATATGACGTATTTTTGAAAATTTTAATTTATCTTTCAGTTCTTCAAAAAACATAGCAGTAGCAATCAACAAATTTGAGATAAATATGGCTTTTATATCCTTGAATATTTTCTGTGTAACTTGAGGATAGTAACAATATCCTTTACCTAGAATGTAGTCACAAAATCCTTCACCTAGAATGGTAGTGAAAGACATGGTAGTTCAAAGGCAGAGAGTGTACAGGAATAGGGAGAAATAGTTGTTCTGGAGTAAACCTTTGAATGAAAGTCAGTTCATTTATGGCTAAGCG